CAATGTCCTGCTCGGGCTTGCCAATTTAATGGCAGAGAATGGTGACTTTAGTTTATTTATTTTTTATTTTTTTAAGTGGATACATATCTGTCATAAAATAATCCTATGCATCTCGTGCCGTATATTCCAAGCATTCTGAAGGTATACTGAGGGTTTGGTGAGAAAAAAACGAAATGGCAAGTTATTATATTTTATGAAAATCTTGCATTGCAGCTCACGCTGCGCACAAGTGCATATCCTTTTGAGATATCAATTATAATCAATTTTAATAAAACACAAGATTACATTATATAACTCTAACAGTAGGCTATTTAATATCTGTTGTTCTCTGGTTGTCAGTCAAAATGACAGTTCTTGCAACATAGGCCTATATATACCCAAGCCAATTTATTATTCTTTCCTTTCTTTCTTAGTGTTTAAAATATTTATTTTGAAACAAATTAATTAATTTCTTAAACAAACAGACTTACTGGTTGAGCAGGGTAGGCTATGACAGCTGTCATATCATACCCTGCCATGCCCAGCTGATGCAAAGAATATAATTTATATCTACTCAGAAGAAAGTCCTGTCTAGCCTCTGCCCTGGCACGAGTTGTGTCGAGCTATTCATTAGCCTGTTTGTTTGATGAAAAAAGATTAAATGTAGTTGCAATAAATGTGTTAAGAATCCATACAACTGCAGCAGCTGAGGACTATTATTCTGCTGCGTGATACTGCGGAAGAACTGATGACGGGACGATTTGATCTTCGGCTAACCAATCAGCAGAAAGGGGCGTTTAATTCCCGCCCACATGTAGAAATTGAATATTCAAGCTGTTTATTAATTTTTCCACCCACCCTACTTTCAATATTAAATTTAAAAAAAAGAATGATCGAATGATACACGGATTACACAGACCCACTATCTTCATTTAATTATTCACTTCATTATCTCATTAACTTTAACTCTTTGAGAACTTGTGAAATGAATTGAAAACTTACTTGAGATTTGAAAATCTCACCTTTGTTAAAAAGTCAAGCGTCAGAATCCCAACTAAAGCAAATGCTTATGCCCACAACGGTGACTTAAAACTTTATTATTTTCAATAAAACATTAACATCTAAACCTCTGTTAATTCTCAATAAGAAGTTTTGTATGAAATAAATAAAGTCAGACTGGTTTGTAATAAGTGAAGATGCTGAGATCTGTTAGTGTTTCATGTTCTGTTGCTGCCAGTCATGTGACGTTTAATTAATTAATTAGTTAATTTTACAGTGAAGGTGTTTGATTGTAATAATTTAGGAAATACCTGTAAATTAACAGTGTTTTCAGCATGTTTAAATAAGGAGATTTCACTTTAATTTTAAGGTTTTTATTTGGCACCCTGTGCTGCCAGTCATTTGACCGTTTTTTTGTTTTTTTGTTTTTCAGTAAAGGTGTTTGATCATAAAAATTCAGGAAATACCTGTAAAATAACAGTGTTTTCAGCTTATTTAAATAAGGAGATTTTGCTTTAATTTCATGTTTTTTTTGTTTTTTTGTTTTTTTAATTTAATTTGAACTTTTCTGGATTGCTCCAGGACTGATTTCATGTATTTTTATATGAAAAAAAAAATCAGTGTGGTACAATTTTTTTCAAGGCACTTCAGTGTCTATAACTTTTTATCTTTTTGAGCATTATCAACTCTGGATGATGGATAGTAAAGCCCAAAGGGTCTTCTTTCCAAAGACACCAAAATTGTGTGTAGCACACTGTTGTCAGGAACTGTTACCATTTTAAGTTAGGTAGGTCTTTTTTTTTTTTTTTTTTTAGCTGTGTGAGTCCCAACATGGGGGGTGCAGGTTAACAGGTTCATGTTGAAAATTTTTTGAAATTTCAACAAACTACCATTATTGTGATCAGTGTTTGTGTTAGTTGCGCTATTGACTCTTGTTTTCCATTAAGTTAATGTTCTTGCAGTGCTTACAATAGTGTTTCAATATAAACACTTATGAATTAATACAGAAAGACATGTTTTAAGTTAAAATGATAATTAATAATAATTGTGTTATTCATTATTATTGTTAACTATAAATTTAAATTGGAGAATATATTACTTTTTGTGATTAGTATCAAAGCTGTAATGAAGACGATCTTTCATTACTAATATACATATTCTGTGTCATAACTGCAAAGTTACTGTGGCAAAATATACACAAAGATTAAGACATCAACACTCCTCATACAATCCTCAGCAATGGTGAGAATCATTATGGCAAGCCCTTTTGACTTTTATTCATTCTCAGGATATGAATTCTTGATATCAACAATTCAATTTTTACTAGTTAAAATGTTCATTCTTGATATCAGGAATTAGATTTCTACTAGTAACAATTGCTATTTTTGATATCAGCAACTACATTTCCACTAGTAACAATGTTAATTCTTGATATCAACAATTACTTTTCAACTAGTAAAAACTATAATTCTTGATATCTGCAATTTAATTTCTACTAGTAACCATCTGATTACTGATATCAAAAATAAAGGTTTTTACTAGTAAGAATTGTATTTCTGATATGTGAAATTGGAATTTCAACTAGTAAGAAATCAGTTCTTGATATCAACAATTGATTTTGAATGGCAGCCTATGGTGACATTTAACTAGTGAAAATACAATTACAGATATCAAGAATTATAGTTTTTACTAGTTGAAAAGTAATTGTTGATATCAAGAATTAACATTGTTACTAGTGGAAATGTAGTTGCTGATATCAAAAATAGCAATTGTTACTAGTAGAAATCTAATTCCTGATATCAAGAATGAACATTTTAACTAGTAAAAATTGAATTGTTGATATCAAGAATTCATATCCTGAGAATGAATAAAAGTCAAAAGGGCTTGCCATAGAATCATCAAATTAACTACATAAACAGATCAATTGCAACACATGCAGTCTTGAATCATTTTTGTAATATGTTGATACCCAGCATAATTTTTATTTGTTGTTTAGTATTACCATAGTGCTACAAACAGCAATGAAAATCCAGCATTTAAGTACAATGAGTCAAGAGCCTAACTAAAGAAAACACTGATCACAATGATGGTGCTTTGTTGAAATTTCAAAAAATTTTGTGGGTGCAAAAGGGATATTAATTCAATGCCATTAACATTGACAAATTAACTGTTTTTTAACATTGATTCAATGGTCGCTTGCCATCAGGGGATGCAGGATTTATGACGTAACTAGTGTAACAGGCCTTCTCGCTTTATATTTTTCCTATTAATTCTCAATTACACCCCACCAAACCAATGACACATATAGGGGGTTTATTAAAACTTACTGGGCTCATGGTAGGCAAGAGAAATGCTACTTCCTTCTAAACTTTAACCACTGGTGCCATTGTTGGACAGTGTCATTATTTTTAAATGAATGATTTATACACGGTTTAATGTCACATTTCATAAGATTTGCTTTGTTTTATTTTTGTACTGTGGATTAATTTCTCAATAAATATTCTCTAAAATAGAAAGATGAGTTTTAAGGGATAAAATAAGTGACTGTAGGGGGACTTTAAACCTACAAATGACACACAGCTCATACTGCAATTTCATATTCTTAAGTTACTAAAAGCATATATTTGCTAGATATGCATTTCTAATCATTTTAATCACAACGCTAGTTTCATTTAGTTTGTGAAAAGCGTAATGGTGATGAAAGCGATGGTGAAGTTAATATTTACTTAAAAGAGTACCAACAATCCATTAGGATAATCCTTAAGACTCACCTCTTCCTCTAGTTTAAGGACTTTACTCTGAGCATTATTTAAAGCCTGCTCTAAGATCTCAATGTGTCGTCGCTGATCCTCATTGGCTGATCGGAGACTGGCTGCCTCTATCTCTAATTTTTCCAGATCTTTCAGGCTTTCTCTCCCTGAGGAAAAACAAATTACAAAATAAAAAGGTGTTTTAGAGAACTTAAAGGTGCACTGTGAAACCTTTTTTTTTTTATGTAGTTGCCAATTACACAAAGCTGCAGTGGCTAGGTAAGTTTAAGTTTAGGTTGAGAAAACTCTTTTTTTGTATGCCAATTTCTTAATCTTTAGAAGAGAAGTTGATTTGCTGCAGACTTTTCAGGTGCACACATTTCAGAGTTAAACATAAACTCTGAATCAAAACCCATGTAGACAATGTTTTTTTGCAAGCATTTTGATCCCACCAAACCTGATCCAAATTAGGTTGGAATTGTTTGGTTATGTCAACTTTATATTCTGTCTTCAACTAGCTTTGTGTGACAGGCCAGAGTTGTTACTTAGCATTGCTCTACTGTGGAAATCCGATGGTTTATGGTACAAGGTGCTTGCCTGTGAGCACATGTGTCATTCTACATCAAGACTGGCAGAAAAAAGAAAGTCCTATAAGGCATGACATAAGATTTTTTAAGTGACTGTTTTTTTATGTACTTGCTCAATAATGGAATTTTAATTATAGATAGATAGAGATTTGAGTGCAAGAGAGGAAGAGGTACATGACAGGAAGGAAGGGAAGCAGGAAATGGTTTGGGTAGCTAGACATATTTTTAACAGTGAACAGACTCAAAAAGTGAGCATATTTATGTGATGATTTGCAATAAGAAGCAAAATCCCACTCTGTGAAAGATACAAGTGCCCGTCATCTTGTCCCTTCAGCTCCTGACTGGCTAGCTGTTGATTGGCTTTTTCCAAATGGTCTGAAAAACACATGAAAAAAAGCTATGCCACAGGACCCAAGAACAGCTAAAGTAAGCTAAATCTACAAACAAACAAATACAATACTATAACTACCTACTCACAAAGTTCAGCAATAAAATTTGGTCGAATTTGTATGAACCACAGGTTCTAATCAAATCATGGGCATTTTAAACAATCTCACCTCTCAAGTCTCTGTTAAAATCATGAAGACGCCTGATCTCCGCCTCTAGCTTATTCCTCATGGTTTTTTCCAAAGCATCCCGTTTGGATGAGCTCTTCACTAAACTCTCATATGCATCTGACAGGCACACAGTCTCTGCCTCCAACTGGAAATACAGCATAAACAAGCATGCAAATGTCCTTGTGTCAGAGTGCTGTATTACAGTCATACTGGGCTACTGCTCAACAATATTTTCATCACCAGAGCACCATGTTCCCATTATAGTTCCCTGCCCCCCATTATTCACTACTTCCTGTCACATGTGTAACAATTACACTGTAATTTTCAATATTACTTTGGATAATTCAATATTAGTTTGAATTATAAGAGCACTTTCGAGTAAATAGCCTGTAATAATGAGCCGTTTTGATTATCAGAACCCCCAATTCTGTTTCCTCTTTGCTATTAATATTATAGACAGACAGGTGGACAGACACACAGACAAGTACCTGCTGTAGTTTGCTGGCCTTCTCATTTTGCTTGTGAAGTTCTTGTCTAAGGCTTTGGTTCTCTTCTTTTAGGGTCTCCAGCATCTGCTTGCCATGGCTTACCGTGGCAAATGCTTCCCCTGGGAAAGGCTGTCCAAAAGGGGCCACACAAGAAAACAGCCCCTGGGTCACAGATCCAGTCTGAGCTGGAGGAAATGCCAGGGACTGAGATAGGGATATAGCCTGATATTGTTGCTGAGAAGCCTGTGAGGGCAGGATACAAGTCTCAGAAGTCATGGGACTGGTCTGTGTTTGGTGCTGTGATGTAGGACATTGTCTAAAATACAGAAAGACAGCAAGTGAAATGTGAGAAAGGGAATGTGCCAACACCTGTTCATTAAATACATATAGGTGAAGTGTGTACACTTTTTGAATTTAAAACAGTTTATCATATACAAGTTCAATAGACAGGAGTTAATTTAATGCAGAGACAACTGTAAACAAGTCACTAGTATGTTGGCTTACAGCATAAACACTGAGCCACCTTAAAAACATTGTTTGTCTTAAAGGTCCAACATATCAGTGTTTGGCTCAGCCAATAATATGTAATAATCCTGTACCCGTAGTGCTGGGCGGTATGACCAAAAATTTATATCACAGTATTTTTCAAAATTATACCGGTTTCACGATACATGACAGTATTTATTTTTTTCCATGCATGACCGGGTGTTAACCATATTTTCTACTGATTGAGAGAGAAAATACTGCAGTATATTGACTTAGAATGCCCTATTTTACTGTCATGATGAGTGAATATTGTCAAAAAATACCACACTAAATAGTGACTAAACACGACCCCTTTTAATACATGTTAACCAGGAGTCATTCTCATTTACAATCACAGCATCGTCTGATAAAATCAACATGCATCTACACTAAAGAGTGGCTATGCGGTTGTTTTGGCTATATTACTTTTTTGTCTCATGCAGCGCACTGTCTGCGTCTGAGTAACAAACTAAAAAAAACAACAAAAATGTGCATGTGATATTAACAGACAAACTATGCTCATATTTATAATTCCAAACAATCAGTAAGCAACAGGTGCTTGGAAATGCTGTTTTGTACCCATTTATTGACGAGTCGGCTGCGTTGCGGCCAACTGAATGCGCTGCTTCTCTGCCACTGCACAGAACAGACGCAGAGAGAGGTGACACTTCTCCGGGAAAGTCAGACCTTGCGTTCGCGGGACAGCACTGGAGAAATCTTCCAACTGAACCATAGCTAAGGTTTATCCCAAAAAGTCTTTAGGTTTGTCAGTATGAATATTCTATGGAAAAAAGCCGCTAAAAGGGTCTGAACGTTGCTAAATCTAGTGCTAAAGTCGCGCTCGTGTGTGTGTGAGACGCGGGAGCTGATGGCAGGGGGGCGGTGGATATTTGTGGCGGTCAATGTGGATATTGTGGATGAGTTCTTCTGTGTCATCACGTTCTATTAGTTCTACAGCTTCAATTTCGGAACTTTCACGCTTAGTAACACGTACAGCTGTTCCCTCACCACAGTGCAACAGTGAAAAGGGACCCCTTTCAAACAGTGTTGCGTTCCAAACGTTGTTTAAGCGACATCCTGTATTGCGGTATTTAAAAAATTCATATCATAACAAAAATAAACACCGGTATTCGGTATGAACCAGTATACCGCCCAGCACTATGTACCCGTAATAAGCTTGGAAGCCATTATTTTTGCAGTTCCAATTGGTGCTGCTACACTCTTAAAAATAAAGGTGCTTCAAGATGCCATAGAAGAACCTTTTTGTCTAAATGGTTCCATAAAGAACCTTTAACATTTGAAGAACCTTTCTGTTTCACAAAAGGTTTTTTGTGGTGAAAAAAGGTTCTTCAGATTACAAAAAGGTAAGAAAGAGATGGTTCTTTAAAGAACCTTTGAGTGAATGGTTCTTTGTGGAACCAAAAATGGTTCTTCTATGGCATCGCTGTGAAGAACCTTTTGAAGCACCTTTATTTTTAAGAGTGTAGTAGTGCAGAATTTACACAATTCACCTTAAAGTTTCTGTTACCGTTACCTTGCTATATTTCTAAGTGGTACTGTCTCCAACATGGCTGCTGTCAAGGTATCACTGTTGAAGTGGCCATGTTCCAGAGAATCTGATTTGGGGTGTAATGTAGGCGAAAGCATAGTCTGTACCTTGAACTTAAAGGGATATTCTGGGGGAGGACCTCTTTGATCCAAAGTCCATTGTGGAGAGTTTAAGGGTGGTGGTTGTAGGGTACCCATGGAGGTCTTATTAGTTAGTGAGAGATAATCTGCTGTATTATCAGCCCCACAAAGAGTAGTGTCTTCTGTGCAAGGTGAATTGGATGGTCCTACACTTTGCTTAGCTCCACTGCATTCTACACTGATTTGCATGATCCTTTCACTTAGAGAGCGAACATGACCCTGTTTTAACTCTGCCAGACTTTCATCACAAAGAAACTTACCACCAGTGCCCCCTTGCTGGACCCATGATTGACCCTCCAAAAGGGCCTTCATGGGAACCGCTGAGAGAGAGGTGTAAGAAGATGAAAGAGAAGGAGGGGAAGAAAGTGAGTGTGTGTTAGAAAGTGATGGCAGACAGGAATGTGAGCTTGCAAGACTGTCAGACATTGTTGACAACTGCTGCATCTGCTGAAACAAGTTGTGTTGCGGCTGACTTTGGTGGACAATGTTTTTATTGCCCTCTTTGTGAAAGTCCTGCTCCTGATTTTGTTGAAAATTGTTTGATAGGTCATCTGGATTTTCAATACTCTGGTGGTTGTGGCCAGGGATTTGGGACTGAGGGTCTGTCGGACTTTGCTGCCCTCTGTAAAGCTGAGACTGGATTTTAGCGTCCTCATATGATGGAAGCTCCAGGGTGTCAAACCCAGGTGAAGTCTGGGCTGCTTGGACTTCTCTACCTGCACCCTGGCTCACACCACCATTTTTTTCCATGGAGCTGCTGTCCACTTGATGCTCCTGACCTTGAGGTTCCTGTCGAGACTGAGACTGCAGGGGCATAAGCTGATATGAATGGGCTACTTGACCCTCCTTTTGAAGGAGTAGGTGTTCTGTAGATGTGGAGTTGCTTGGCATCTGAGAGCTGTCGTTTTCTACCCCTCCTCTGATTCCACTTGTTCCATATCTAAGATGCTCTTGCATAAGCCTGTGAAGCACGGTTCCAGATGCGCTCTCCTCAGAACCATGCATGTCTGCTGCTGCACGGGTAGGCAAAAGGTACAGATATGTTCAGAGGAATTGGATGATGTTATCTGCAAAGGAAAAGAGGTAAATAATTATTCCAATAGAGCTACAAAAACATCAAGAATATGATCAAGATTTACTTCTGACTTTTAAAAGATAATACATTTAAAATAAAATGATCATACTTATAGACAGGGACATGACTAGGCCCTGACAACTGGGCTATAGTCCTGCATGTTTTTAATACAAATTTCAAACACAAATTTCAAACAATTTCAAATTTAAATCACCCATCTAAATTTTGCAGCACACCCCTGCAAACAAGCCTGCACTGACCATTTACGGGCCCACTTAGGGCTGCCAGCGCAGAGCCTCTGAGAATTTGCTCATTGGCAAAATGTTGGCCCCTGAGCACTGGCCCTGCATGGGCAACCCTCACTTAGCCTCCAGGAAGCCTTAGCGCTGTTTTATTGAAAATAATAAAGTTTGAAGTTACCATTATGGAGGTAAGTGCTTGTTTTAGTTGGGTTCCTGACCCTTGACTTTTTAACTATAGTTTATTTCTGTCTGTTGTAAATGTGTGTGTCTGAAGCACAATTGTTATAACAGCTATCACAACAAGAACAAATCTGTATGATAAAGTGTCCTGCTTTGTTTAGAAATGTTGTATCTGATGCAGAAAGGTTTTGGTTGGGATCATTTAGATTCTCACAGATCTCAAAATATAGCACATGAACATCAACTTGTGACAATCAATGAAAAGCATGTTTTGTAATGTTCAACATTGAACTGAATATTTTGTGAGCTATCACCATTGTTGAGGTTCATACGCTGAATCTTGACATCTGTGTGAGTCTACATGATTCTATCCAGATAATTTCTACATAATGACTTAATGTTCAAAATAAAGCAGGATAAAATTACAAGTAGTTGTATACTAATGTTTCTATAATGTGAAGTAATGAAATCTATATAATGTCCTCAGAGATCAAACTCTGGGTGAGATCAGGGAATAAGTTCACTATGTAATGACTGAATCATCAGATCAGTTTATTTTTTACAACTTTTGCTATAATATGCTTCAGAAATACACAGTTACTGCAGCCAGAGAAGGCTTGTTTGCAGGGACCCCACTCCATGTGGAGCATTTTGTATGCATCAGTTTATTATACTAGACTTGTTCAAAGATCGTTCTTTGAAGGGTCTTTTTTACACATAGTAACAGTTCTATTTAGAACCATATCATCCTGAAGAACCCTTTTGTGCTGAAATGGTTCTTTCTGTTAGCGTTTAGAGTTTTTAATTCCCACCTTTTTGTTTTTCCAAATGTACAACTGTCAAAGCCACCTCATTATTGATATTCTAGAGCTCAACCATCCAGCTACATAGACTGTCAGCAAACACTCACCAGGTAAATGATTTTATTTTTTACAATTTTAACTTTCACATTGTAACTGGTTTCTGACCAGTCATGTCTTTTTTATCTTTTGAGTTATTTTAACAGAATGCAACCCCACAACCGTGATTATCTACAGAGAGAAGCTGCCACTTAAAATATATGGATATGTGTAATGGTGGCGGCCCCCAAATTAGACCAAACTAGATTTTGAGTTAGTTAAACTTAACTTTAATTTATTTATTTTTTGTTTTTGGGCGCCGGACAAGACCAAAATGTGTCAAGTCAAAATATTTATATATTTTAGTTTTTCTCTTGCCAGATAAACTCAAGACAAAGCCACCGATACACAATGTGCCAGCCACACAATAACACAAAAGCATTGAAAGAAAAAAAAATTGGGGTTAAATAGTCACAAAAATAGATCTTGCTTTTTCAAGTCAAAGAATGTTATTTAGAAAAATACAACAAACAAAATTACAATATTAAATTTCCCAGCATTTAAACAATTTTGGGGAAAAAAGAGGAAAAGGAAAAAAATACAATAAATGGAAATGAATAAATAACAGTATTGCTCCTCGTTTAATTCAGTCCTTCAATTCAAAATCTTGATAATCTTTCAAATGAGAGAAATCACTGACAATTTAGGCTATACTTTCGACTGCTGAAAAAAACAAAACCATTTAATTTGCAGTTAACTTATGAATTAAATGAAAAACAAAAAATAAATCACAACAAGAACAAGTTTTTTTCTTGTAATCAAGAAAAAATTTGACAATTTCAAAATGAATGCTGAATGATATTTGACAGTGATCTCCACTGCATCGCTGCATACAATCGTTGTTGTCAGTCGCGAATATTAAGCGTGTTTTAGGCTAAATGCATGGCGTGTGTGTTTCACTAGCTTCGTTCCCATGTACACATGTTTGATCTAATTCTGGATATTTCCAGCCTAAAACGTGTGATTAATCAGCCGATTAATCCGAATCTAAAACGGTCTACACCAAGAGAACCCATTACGGGAAGCTGGATTGCTATTCCTGAGGTAAAACACGCCCTCCTCATTACCTTATGGACAAAGAAATGTAAAAATAAATAAATGTATAAATAAATAAGGAAATAAATAAATACGTAAATAAATACAGAAATGTGGAAATAAATGTATAAATAAATAAAAGCAAAAAAAATAAATGTGAAAAAAATACATAAGGAAATAATTATAAATAATTATTTATTTTTGCTTTTTTACTTTTCTTTGTATATTTATTTATATTTGCTTTTTTACATTTCTTTATTTATTTCTAATTATGGCAGGGTTGGCATTCCCTATTTACAGTCTGACATAATGACCACTGAGATCCCACAGTGTGACATGATCATCATGTTCGTACAGTCTGACAAGTACAATCCTAAAGGACTTTTTTTTTAAAATCACAGTGTGAACCCGGTTTAAGTCTGTGGCTGATGTCAGTTGTAATTCTTGTTTCTCTTTTCTTCAGTGATTCTGCTTGTTAACAGCAGGTGTTCATCACTAATGCTCAATCAGCACTTAATCACATAATTATCTCATTAACGTTAAGTCATTAAGTGTTAATTTAACACTAGGGATTTTACTGTGCAGTATCTAAAAAACCAAACCAGTTATATGAATAATTATCAACAATGTACCACAAGCTAAATGACGGGAGGAGTTAACAGGGAAACATACCCGAGAAACCAAAAATAGAACCACCCAGATTGACTTAAGCACTATAGCCAGCTATTAAAACCCCATATCGACAGGAAGCATGAAACATTACAAAACATAGAAGCGTAGCAGTTAATGTTAATGCATTCAGTTAATGCATACATTTTATGCATTTACTAAGTAATCCATTGCATTTGAAAAATAAATTTATCCGTAAATAAACCCTGCTTGGCACATGCAGAGTCAGGAGTTAACAGGGAAACATACCCGAGAAACCAAAAATAGAACCACCCAGATTGACTTAAGCACTATAGCCAGCTATTAAAACCCCATATCGACAGGAAGCATGAAACATTACAAAACATAGAAGCGTAGCAGTTAATGTTAATGCATTCAGTTAATGCATACATTTTATGCAGTCAGACATGAAAAGCTTTACACTTGTACTTTACTAAGTAATCCATTGCATTTGAAAAATAAATTTATCCGTAAATAAACCCTGCTTGGCACATGCAGAGTTCTGAACTCCAGCTGAAAGCTGATAAACATGAGTCACGCATCACATGTTACATTGATCACATCATCCGCTACATTTGAATCCACTGAGGAAACTTTGAAAAACACGACAAAGTTAGCAACATTATGTATGTCATATTTACCCAGCAAGATCCTGACACGGATTACTCAATCTGTCAAAGGGAAGAGTTTTTGTAAGTGAATTTCCCGGGACTCTCTTTAGCTGTTGGATGTCTGCTGTTTAACACATTTGACTGACTTGCAATAATCATGTCCAAGTCACTGTGGTATGGCAGGAATGTGTGTGCCCGGACCGCAAGGCAACATGCGCTCCTGGGTCCTAGCACCAGTTTAGGATCTAGGGATACGCGCGTGGACATGAATATTTCCCCTTGACTTTCAGGATCTCGGAAACCCGCCTCAAACATTTTTTAAAATTAATTATGAATATATATATATATATATATACATACACACACACACATACCTATTAGGGGTGTAACGGTTCACAAAATTCACGGTTCGATACGATATATATTAAAATTATATATTATAATCATATTATATAATATATAACTCGTAAGGCCAAGACAGAATTCCACAGATGTTGATTAAAAGTTACTGATGTAAACAAAAATTCTGTGATGTACACAGTAAAATCCTGAGTGTTAAGTTAACACTGCTCGGAGCATATATATTCCCACTCTAAAAGAGTGTTAAAGTAACACTGAAGCGGTGTTAAAGTTAATGAGATAATTATGTGATTAATTAAGTGCTGATTGAGCATTAGTGATGAACACCTGCCGTTAACAAGCAGAATCACTGAAGAAAAGAGAAACAAGAATTACAACTGACTTCTGCCACAGACTTAGATAAAAATCAATTGGCCAGCTGACCCAGTGCATTAATTGGCCGAACACCACAAGCACTCGTCGGAAATGTAACGTCCCTTACCATAATCGCGAGCTTCATCTTTCAAAATAAATGTAAAGACAGAGCCGGAAAGGGGAATAGAATCGCATGACAGACACAGGGATGAAGCTGGTATGTGTTTGCAGTACACAAGCCTCGGTTAAGACAGCTGACTCCACTGTGATGTCTCTCTCTCTCTCTCTGGCGCGCGCGCACACACACACTGCGCAAAACGCCTCATTTGAACAGTCAATAGCAAATACTTAAACTAATAACAAAACAGTAGCTGATTCAGAAGCGCCAGATTGTCATAGCAAAGTCAGAATTACCTCCTCTCCTAGGTTCACGAAACGGTCGTCCATAAAATGCATTGCTGTTCTGTTGTAAGTAATCTTAAAGATTCCTAAATGCATCTACTTCCGGAAGGCCAAATAAAGTGCTTTTGCTTTCGCCTAGAAACACACAATGTCTCCCTGACATGGCTGCTTCAACACTAACTGCGGTTACTGAGGCCTTCTTTCTTTGCGTGAACATTTGGGTGGCATTATGCAAATATTTCCACATAGTGAGGTAGACATGTGGTAGATAGATTAAAAGATAAGCAGGGTCTAACCAGTACAACTGGTACTAATCGTGACATAAGTAGACATTGATTGGCCAAACGCGTACGAAAACGCCCTCACCCGCCATGATTTAAAACGCTGTGTCAACTTATTTTGCAAGTATGGAGAACAGCGATAGATGGACGGACGCTGAAGTGCAGGCATTTGTAGCAAATGTAGCACTGCCAGTTGTCGTTGGAAATTCTTAGTCCTCCTTTCCGTTCTTTCAATCGCTTTACGTATAGTCGACTTTACATGTCCATTATTGTGAAACCTGCGAGACACAACCAAAACACAGCTCCGATCACAGCGTCCTCTATCCTCCTGTTGGTAACGTTGTTCTTCTTTGTTTCCGTTGTTGAACGCCGCGCACAAATGACGTCGCTGT